AGCTTTGATTATTTGTCATAAATGTTTGTGCAACGTTTCCATTTCGTATGTTTAACCATTCTTTAGAAAAAAATAATAAGTGAAAAAACAAAATGGCGAATGTGTGAATAAACATGGACTTCCGGAAAATTTAAATATGTTATTTAGATATGTTTTTTACTCAGGAACAATTCTCTAAAATGTTGGTAGAGTTCCGAGACACCCTGTAGATCAATCGCTAAGCCACATGCTTAAGTCATGGTAAAAGGAATACAGTTTAATATGTTTTAAGTCCATAGTTGCGTTGGATAGTCATTTTAATTTTAATTTTAATTTTCTTTTTACTACGCCAAATGTTTTGATTACACTGCGTTTTGGAAAAAATCCGCTCATTAAAAAGTGACCTTGTAAAAATCTGAGTTAACATAACTACCCTAACTACCATAACCTACTTAATGTTTCCCCTATTTCCATACATAGATTCCATATCAAATTCCACATACAATTTAATCTAAGTGTGAAAAATTCTGAGAAATTAGGTAGGTTGGGTGAGATACAGTGGCTATTTAAATGTTTGTTATTGTTTAGGTCACTTAAACAAGAGGAGTTTCATTGCATCCCAAAACGTAGTTTAGTCAAAACACCTTAGAAAAAGTCTATTTTAATTAAAATTACAGTTAAACCTAGGTCCTAAATTGGTAAAGAGTCATTTGCACCGTTATAACGAAATAGTAAGTAGAACTAGTCAAATCAAACCTAAGGTAAATAAATCTCATAGAAAATGTTTATAATTTTTAGGGATTTAAATTTGGTTAATGCGAATGGATCAGTACAGAGTACAGTTAAAAAGCATAAGTATTTCTATTTCACATTTCAAATTCCACATTTGTTAGTTGTGAAAGGTTAGACTCAGAGATAGAGCAGTACAATTTGTTTGTAGAGGAGCAACGGTGAAGCTTTTTGGAGATAACACACGAATGTTTGTCCAACACTTAGACACAGCACAGAACTCTCAAGCTTGGCAAATATCATCTGAAACGATAAAACACTTACAACTGTCTGGAATTGCTAAAAAAATTATCAAACTATGGTTTAGAATTCATAATCAACTTGATAATCTTTTGTTTAAAAATTGACAAGAGGTTCTACCCCGCGAATTCACGGGTGTACAGAAGCCACCATTAAATTAATTTAATCAACTTTGACGTTATATTTTATTTAAAGGGCCCAAGTTCGAGAAATTGTCATCTTAAAGGATATTAAAAACAGCGGAACCTTCATACCTGACGTCCTGAGGTGGCCGAGGTGGGTACGGTTGTACCTGAAATCGCCGCTCTCTTCCACGACGTCTTTAATACTTTTCGATTAAATGGCGACCTGTTATAGATCGGTGACAACCTCTTGGAACGAACAACATACATGGTTTGTTAATCTCATATTCATCGTGTTTCAAACACCTTTACACTCACTTGTATGAAACAGCTACAAATAGCTTCACTTTCCATTCACCTCTTTTACACCTCTTTTAAGAACATAGAAGTAAATAATAAAATAAGTAAACAAAAATGTAAACAAAAAAACTATATTGTCAATTGCATTGGCCAGCTGGTGTTCACTAAATTAATCGAAAAAAATTAACTTCCAAAACATGCAAGGCGTAGCCCTTTGGAAATCAGCCTGTGGGGCAGAGCCCTTAGGGAGTTCGTCCATATCAATACTTTTCGGCAAATCTACACACTCTAAGCTTCATTTTGATATGCCATATGCCTATATTTTTATTTGGTAAATAAATGGCCTTAACCGTTTACATAAAATTTGATTGTATCACTTTAATAATATAATAGATTCTTAAAACTATGCCCAATACAAGTTGTACGGAAATTTAAAACTATAGTTTTTCCTACAGTTGCTATGAAGCATAGAAATAATAAGTCTTTCAAAAACTAAACAACACTTTTTAGGTTAGGTTAAATCCAAGTTGTTAACGAAAATGGAAACGCTGCACCAGCTGATCGTAGTCGTAGTATTGCCAACTATTTAAGTGTTGCCAACTTATTTTAAAGCGTACACGTATTACGTGACTAATAGAAGCACACTGTGATGTGTTGTTTGGTTGGAATACTGGAGTGCGGAAAAATTGAGTGCAGCAAAAGTAAGTAAATGCAGCAATCAGCTACTTTACGTGCTATAATCAGTGCAAGGAAGCCCAATTTATCACGTAACTATGGGAAAAGATATAATGGATTAAACATTTATTCGGGCTATAGTTTGATCCTGTAGAACGGGTTTGACATTTTTAAACGTTTTAACTTTATAATGGATATTTTGAATAACGCAGTATTCTGTTTTATTTACTTGCGAATCTTCTAATTCCACTTGCCAACATTTATGTAGTGTCACTCAATCATACTGTTTACTGTATACTGTTACTGTGTGCAAACCAATTATTTAAAGGAAAAAATGTTAGCAAAATATAGCTTCTTGATAGAATTTGGGGTGTGCATTTTACACTCTTACATTTTTTTTTTATTATCGATTAAACTAGTGCAGACGTGTTGAAAAGACGTTTAAAATATTCGTTCTAGTTTCAGCACTATACGATTCTAACCTCAAAATTCCAAATTATTACAATGCATTGCAGTTCGTCAGTCAGGAAAAACACTCTCTGTTGCATTGCACTTAAAAGTAATCCGTTTAACATTCCAGTGAAACAGAGTTATCGGAGTAATTAGTGGAGCACTCTGGTGTCACTTGGAGTAATCACATTGACTGCAGCGCCTCTAGGGGTCAATCTTGTTAATACGAGATAAGCCATCACTGCCAGAGGGTTACACTTGAGTTATAACAGGTAGTTAGGCTATATAAGAATAAAATATTAAAATGTACTAATGAAGTATTATTTATGCACTTTTATACTTGACGTTTTAGTAAATCGTATTATGTTGTAGGTTTTAACACGTTAATACAGGCCCTTCAGCCGGGGTCTGAAGTTAGACTACTTCAGATTAAATATGATTGATATCTTATAACCTCAATTTTAAGAACAGATTTAAAGATAAAAAGACTTATATTTATTGATTTACTCGCAGCAAATGCGTAGACCCCTTACTTTGATAATAATTAGTCAAATATTTTCACTCATTATTAATTCTAACAATAAATAATACTGTTTTATAATGATGTATTTTTAATATATATGCAGTGGAACCTCGATAAAAAGACCCTCGATAACAAGTCACTCTTGATAACAAGTGTATTTTTTAAATCCCCTTGAATTTATTTTACCTCTAAACACATGTTATTGCAAACCTCAATAAGAAGTCAACCTTGATAACCAAACTAATTTTATAAACCCCATGAGAGTCTTGTTATCTAGGTTCTACTGTATATATAATTCTGTAAAATGCACTTTCATAAATAAATTGATATTTTAAAACAGTTTAATACAATTTTGATATTATAACAGTTATTTCTATAAGAATTTTTAAAGAAGTTTAAAACTAATAACTATAGTTTAAATTGGAAATCCTTGCGAATTCGTCTTTAACCAACTCCCTTGTTTGTTTTAAACCCTAGGGCTTACATGTTGGATTAGGACAGGGAAAACCTTAGACAGTTAAAGCTCTAGGTGTTAACATAAATGTCATAAATTAGGATTTATTTTGGTAAAACTGTGCACCCTAGCTCAAAGGTAAATATTTCACTCTTTTTTACCTGTTATGGCACCAGGTTGGAATACGAGTATGACTCATTTTATTTTCAATGGTTGACAAACTGGAATCAAACAGGTCTATTAGAAGTGACACATTTGTAGTTGGCATTTCGGTCCTTGAGGTCCCAGGTTCAAATCCCAGCAAATACCAATGGATTTGTATATAAGTGATAGGGCCACAAAACATCTAGACCCTGAAATAACGTGAACAATGATTCCGGGCTTGAGTCTACTGTCATAGGATGTGAAGTGGGATCACTAATACACTATTTGGCTAACTAAAAACTGTATTGTCAACTAAAGGGTTGGATACACAACGGAAACAAACATATCAACGACACGACGCTTAACATAAAATCGTCATAAACCTAAACCAATAACATCTGTGTGTTAATTTTATGCAACCCATTGAACTTTGATAGTTCGGATGCAAACCAAGTTGTGATGGCGATCAGCTGATGCAGGTAATGGACCTGTTTAGTATGTAAACAGACCGGAAACACGTGACCTGTAGCGACACCGGAAGTGCTGACGTCATGTCAAACCACTCATTCAAATTGGCTTACAGTGTTTAAACCTTTTTATTCGGCTCTCTCAGTAATAACTGTAGGTTTTACCACAGACAACAGACCTCTCTGTGGTTTTACACTAGTGTACTTTACTTCAAATCCATTTTCATCCAATATAAGGAAATCCTTTAATGTTGAAGCATATAATAATTAATTGTGGATATAGACATTTTTTTAACATTACTAAAATTTCATATTTTTTAAATTTCTTTATATTTTTAGTTTGTATATGTAGATTGTTCGTGTGTAATAAATGAAAATTATGAGAAAAAAATGAGTAAGCCATGTTAACAAGAAGAACCAGAATGAAATAATGTTAATTTGTACAATATTATGAATTAAAAAAAATCATCATATTGTTAAATCATGGTGTATTAGTATCATTTGTGTCCCCTTATTCCACGATCCTAGAGGTCATCCATATAGCGAGTACTTTACCTTTTAAGTACAATTTTCCCCTTTTAAAGTAACACTTTATAAAGATTTTTTCGTAAGTTTCTCGGTAACCCTCACAAAGGAAACCGAGTAGAATAAAACACCAGCAATATTCAGTGTACCTATCATTGTTTTTCTTTATGTTTCTTCTATTTACAAGAATGATTACACGAGTTGCTAGTTTTCCTCATTTTAATTAAAGAGTTATCAATGATCATAATTGATCATGTCAACCTGTGTTTGCATAATTAATTTCTGATAAGATAGAAAGAATGTTCTGTATTTTTTTTTTTACATTCATTAAACATAGATTGGTTGAACAACATGAAACTATCTCACGCACTTCTTTTGGGTAAGTAAACCTTATTGGATTTATACGGTGTTTAGCGAACTTAAATCTCAATCTTACCTAAATAGTCAATGGTACAATATTGTTACAGGAGCACTACTGGTGATGCAGTGTATGATCACAGTCCTAGCTGAGGCTGTAGAGTCAGGTCCATCTGCTGGACCTTTGCCTTATGCTGACGATGATGGTTCACTAGGGGGTTAACGTGTTTTTAAGGGTTTATTGCGACTTCTCTTATTGCGAGGTCTCTTTATCCACTGGACTCTTTGAGGGCAATATTGTTACATTTTGTGGAACTACATTGTACAAATAATTTATTACAATACAATAAAAACAATAATTGGATCATTTTAAATTGTGTATAATTGAACTGTTTGGCTACCAAACCTAACCCCTTGAGACAAGTGAGTTTCATAGACACTTTACAAAGGAAATTATCAATGTTTTTTTAAATATATTTTTGCAGTCCATAAACAACAAACACGACCATAATTTGTAGAGCAAATCCATTAGATTTAAAGTGAAAGATTATCAACCGTGAAAAAGTCTTTGTTTATCCTTTTTATACAATGTTTTCTCAATTAATTCAACCATAATTCAAACACATAAAAATATGTGTTTGTTCAGGCAATAGCTAGAAGCCATAAATCTATATATATATATATATATATAATCCAATGTATGTTTGTTTGTCCTTTATGGACTACGAAACCACTCGACAAATTGTAATGAAACTTTCATTATTAAGCATTATTCAAGGATGGTTTGTGTGAAGTTTGGTGCAGATCCGTCAAAAGGGCGCCGCCCCAGTGGCTCTGGAGTTTCCCATGTTAACCTTATGAGAATTCATATTTAAATGGAATTTAAGAATCTTAACAGCTGGTTCAAAAAAAGAATTTGATTCTATGATGTTCAATAGCATTAAAAATTTAATAGGTTCACCAACAGGGTGCAGCACAATTATTTCTTTAAATTTATGACAACAGCTAATTTGCAACCAAAAGGTGAGTGAGCGTAGCGAACGAACTTCAACCTGGAGGTGAGTTAGCGTAGTGAACGAACTAACCTGAAGGCAAGTAAGCGCAGCGAACGAGCTCCAACCTAAAGGTGAATGAGCGTAGCGAACGAACTTCAACCAGAACGTGATTGAGCCATGCAAACGAGCTCATCTTGAAAATGAACGAGCAATTGACATAAAACCACATTAAGTTTTAAGTTTTACATGACGTTTCTTTTTTTTTTACTTTGTAGATTGGTCGATAACAGTGTGTTACTCTTACTTTTTTACATTAGTCTACTTTATTATACATCTCATTTCCACTGATTTATCTAGCAAAACACTCAAGGAGATCGAGAGAAACTTGAACAAAACAAGTTGGTAGCAAATAAAAACAATCCGAGTGCCACCAACGGCTCTGGGAACAGGTTTTATTGACATGTTTTTCACTTGTTGGACTTTTCTTACATCAAGAGTTTTATCAAAATGTTGTTCAACTTACTGGAGGAAGTTTGTTGTTTTGTAATAAATAGTTAAATTATTTTTGATTTAAATTTATTTTACAAAACTGCTGTGTTATTACCGTGAATATACAAGTGTGAGAAACTTGAAATCTTGTAGATGTCCAATAAGGGTATTACAAAATCTAAATTCAAGGGGGTTAAAAAACTTAAATTGTAATTGAAACAAATTATAACCTTTATAGCATCAATTCCTAACTATATACTTAAATATTCTGTGAATGCAAATAGTTAACGTTAAAATCACTTGTCACACCGTTCAGGGGACAAAAACATATGACTAGAGAAGTAACAGACATTGTAACATTAGAGGGACACTCCAACAATATAGCTATCATTAAGGGCGATACTCTGCACTAATGAGAAATGTAATTTGCTCTACTAATAGTTTCATTATCACATTTATAACTACAGTATGTCAAGATGTTTCGAACTGTAGCTATCGACAAATTAGAGTAATTATGATAATTTTCGTCACTGCAGAGTTTTTAATACGTTCGCTGACGATATTTTTATACCTGACGAAATATATTTGTAGGTGGAGAATTATAAATTCGTTCAATGATACATTATTTGTAAAAACTTGCTTCAAACTTGCTTGAGGAATACTACCATTCACTATACTACGCAGCAAATAGAGCAATACTATTGACTCTAGATAAGATAGTGACTTTGCAGTTTACTTCAGGTCAAGGACACATCGCTACTAGGTGTTAAACTGTATACATGAAGTACATATTAATTTTTCATAGATGTTTGTGTGCACCATTCTTTATGTTTTGGGATTAATGCAAGCAAACGATTGCATAAAGCATCACATATTTTTCGAGTAAATAAACAAACACCAGTTCATTGCACTGACCAGCTGTTTAATTAGCTGAATCAAATTAAACCATCTGAACTTTGGAAGCATGCCAGGTGTATCCCTTTGGAAATCAGCCTGTGGGGCAGAGCCCTTAGGAAATTCGTCCTTATCAATACTTTTAGGCAAATCTACATACTCTAATCTTCATTTTGATGTGCCATATGTTTTATGAAAAGTTTTTTTGTCTAAGATGAAATACATTATTGAAACTGCTGCTTGTGCTTTTATGGTCTCTGACGACCAACCGAAGGTTCTTGTAGGCAGAGAGGCACATTAGCGGGGCCCTAGTGCGCTCCGATGGAAAAAGGAGGGGAAATCCTGATACGGGGATGAAGAAAGAAAATTTAAAACATAAACAACATTTTTCGAGGACTAATCCATATAATATAAGCTGGAAGCATGAAAAAAACATTTCCCAACCCCTGTTGGTCGCCTTATACGACAATCTGGGGAGGATGCGGTCCTATTCTAACCCGCGGAACACAGAGAGTTGACAAATAGTATCAAGATTAATAAGGAAATTCCTCCCTTAAACATAATGATGGTCATCACTCACCAGCTTCTACATCTAACGATCAGATGTGACGTCACTGTCCCATATGTTACAACGGCAATTGAATAGCTGTTGTTTAATCTTGACTGTGAGTTTGAAAACGTCGACATAACAAAGATGTCACACTCCTGCAATAATCTTGCACATTTAGATTGAAATATCCCCTCCAGGTGGCTTTTTCTCAAAATTAATGTAAACATAAAAATTAAACTACAAATTAATCGTAGGAATACAACTTGACTTGACTAACGTGGATACACACAAAAGTGTGAGTAATCAAACCACATTTGAAATGTTTGAAAAGTGCACCTAGGATAGGTTAATTTTATTGTAATGATTAACACAGGGTAAATAGCTATTTGTGTAACTAGTGTGCGAAGTGGCACTTTGCTGCACACGAGAGAAATATATATACGCACGAGCCGTTGGTGAGTGTGGAATGTTTCTCGAGTGCAGCAAATGCAGTTAGCACTCGTGTTACACATTATATTTTTTCCACAGTCACTATAAAGCATAGAAATAATTATTAGTCTTTCAAACACTATGCAACACGTTTTTAGGTTAGGTTAAATCCAAACATTTAACGAAATGGGAAATGCTATACCAGCTGATCGTAGTCGTAATATCTTTAAGTGTTGCCAACTTATTTTCAAGCGTACATGTATTACGTGCCCAATAAAAGCACACTGTTTGGTGTTGTTTGGTTGGAATACTGGAGTGTGACAAAAACATTAGGGCCACAAAAGTAAAAATAGTGCAGCAAAAGTAAGTAAACGTATCAATCAATATCAATGTAAATGTATCAAGTAACACTTTACTTGTCGTACCATAATCAGTGCAAGGAAGCCCACTTTGTCAGGTAACTATAGGAAAACATAATTTGATTGTTACTCGATAGGATTCACATTGCAATTAATTTTTAAACAATCGGTGAATCAATGTGTAATAATGAATGGATCAGTTGTTGGGTTCAGCAAACGATTTAGTTGGTCACAGAGCAAGCGCAAGAATTAAAATATTCCAGCCAAGGCAATTTAGAACAGCTGGATTTCAAATTATGACTGTATAAATATGTTGGATTCATATGCGTTGCAATCATATGTTTGTAATTTGTTGGGTGTAATTTTAAACCATCAAACTTTCCTAACTATGGATGAAAAATGTTATGTTCATGTTTCTGTGTTTATCTTACAGCTGACAATGAAATTTCTAGCTCAAAGTAATATCCTAATATGTTCGTAATTTTAATAAAGTAAACACTGTCACTAAACCAAAGTATAATTTAAAATACGCTCATGAATAAATAAATTTGTGAATATTTAGTCATACAAACGTTTCATCATGTGTCTCTGTAGGTTCTTGTATTGATGCAAACTCTTTGAATCTCATTCGGGTGAGCTGGAAATCTTTATAAATAAGGGTGTAAGAAAATTACATTGTACACTTGTACACTCTCACAATTTTTATAGTAACACTTTAAGAGTTATTAAAGAGTTCAGAAAGTATCTAATAAATAAAACATAAATTCATGAGGATGTGTGTATAAAAAACTAGGTCATGATAGCAAATAAAATAAGAACAAAAGGGAGGATGTTGAGGTAGATTGGAAAAGTCAACTTAAGCGTATAGTTGCAGCGTCGACGATTTTAAAACACCTTTTTAATTCCAAGCACGTTTTGATTCTGCAGTTCAGTATCGTATACTAAAATGAAAAGCAAGGATTGTTACACTTGCTTAAAAAAACAAATTGGGTAATTTTAACTGTCAAGAAATTATTCCTAGTTATAATCTGTGATGTATACATAATATTGTGTTTTACAGCAATTTCATTACGACTGTGCTTGGAGTTTCTTTTAAAATCAAAAACTATAAATAGGTAATAAACAGCTGTTACATAGAGCATCCTATGGCCAGCATGTTTCTTGAAAACCTTTTTTCTCAGCTTGTGTGCATCGCAGGGAAAATCTACGCAAACTGTTAGAAATATATTTCCCTGTAGATGTGCATAATCAGTTTATAAATTAAAATAGGCTCAAAAATAAACACAAACAATGAATTTAAAGTTTTAAAAATTTACATGGGCCTTGACGAAATGGGGTAACCTCTAGTATAACTAAAAACATTGTATGTGGTTAATCTTTTGTATTCTATGGATTTTTTTTGCTATAATATATGCAATATATTATAGCCCACTAATATGGTGACCTTTGACATTGAAAAATATAGCTAACAATGTGGAACTAACATTATATACATAAATAAGGTAAAAATATACCTCAATGAGTCGCTGGGTAAATGCATTAACTATGTATACTTACACAATAGTATGCCTAGTTATTACGGTTGGAGCGCAGACCTTCCAGGCTCTAGATTTGGAGCGGCCCTGGTGGTCAGGGTTAGAATCCTGCCGGTTACCAAA